TGGTTTAATAGGCATAGGGGTGTTGGATTGACAGTTGGACTTCATGATCTCAGAGGTCTTTTCCAATCTATGATTTCAACTATACTGGCATTCAGAAATTACCTTCCTTCTAGAGTAGTCCTCTTGTCCACACATTTCAACACATTAATTTACTACTATAAATTACTACATCACTACACTGCCCCTTCCTGAAGAAAATGTTTCATTGATTCTGCTGGTTACTACAGTCCCCAAAATTAAGTCAAATGAGCATTACGTGCCTTGAATCTTTTTCAGAAGAGCTTATTCAAATTCTTCTTTTACTCTTAAGAAAATAAATATACAGATTATATTCCCAAGCCACCTCTCCTGCTTTTAGTTTTTGAACTGTTTTGAATAAACATTTTAATACTGTAATTACAAAACTTTTGCTGTAATTCTCAGGGCAAAGAGTTACACAACTTTTGTCCAGAGCTAATTTTGCCCCCTTTCATGATTTATCAAACTACGAGGAACAAAAACTGCTCAATATTCATATACTTTAAGCCAAGAAAGCAGCATTCTCTAGACTGACTATTCACAGGCCAGCATATTCCCTCACTTGTCCCGTGCTGAGTCCAATAGCTTGCAACCAGTTGAAGGAAAACTTTTTAAAAAAAGTTTTACAGTCTTGATATTCTGAAAGACAGAAAATCTCTTTTTTTTTGCTGTTGTGTTTAAATGATGTTCCCATCTATTAATCACAGATAATAAGGGACCTTACTTCTAATTTTAGTATCTTTGCCACAATAAAAAAAAAATCTTCAATAGCTAGCACTTCCTTCTTATGAAAGTATTTATGTATAACTAACATTCTTTTCGGTAGCTTGAAAAAGATTTAAATCTTTAAGTTTCTTTAAGGCATTTTCTTGAGCCCTAAGTTAATATATTCAGCCTGTTCTGCAACCTATCCCGTTTTTAAAGCCCTTTTCAAAATGTGGACACCAGAAGTAGATCCAGTATTTCATTACCAGCCTCATCAATGCCACACTCAGTGAGTAAAATCATCTCTTCCTACCATCTACCATTCCTGTTTATATTCATAAAGACTGAATTAGTTCTTTGTGCCACAGCATCACAGTAGAAGATCAATCGGAATTACTTCTTCACTGACCCCTAGACCTTTTTCCAGAGTTGTTTCTTTCCATAATGCAGTCCACTCTGGCCTGCATTTCCAGTTTTTTTAAATAAGTAACTTCGGCTACTTTAAAAGGTTTCTTATTTAATGTGCCCACCTTACCAAGGAATACGAACAGCTCTCCGTCCTTGTCTTGACATACTTCTACTATTTCAGCATTTTCGTGTCACTTGCACATCAGTAATGATTTTACAATTTCTTCCATATCACTGAAAAAATTGCTCAGTATTGCCCAGATATGTCCCAAATCTCACAGAACACTTACAAATATCACCTTCCTGCCCAGTGATGGTTCCCAGATTGAGATTTTCAGCAGCCACTGCAGTATTCCAAGCATTTTCTTGGAACTCAACTATAAACCACCAAAGCCTAATAGATATTAATAACATATTGTTTGGTTATTAAGAGGTTTGGAAGTACATTCCTTGTCTCTTCTGACTTGAATACAAAGGACTTCTTTCTCTAAAAGAAATACAAATATATTTTTTGAATGTTGCTACTTTGCCAACAGGTTTACTCATCATTTTATTCTTTGTTTCCTGCAACACCATACTCTTACCCATACCCTTGTCAGCTTAAGTACTGGACAACTCTGATGTCCTTAGCATGTTTTATCAATCTTCTCTGCTTTATGACTTCTCATTTACTGTTTCCATAGCAATCCTTCACATTTTTTATTTACTGTGGTATTTTTTCCTCTGCCTTCAACTGCCATTGGTTTCCATTGGATATTACATATTTGATTCAATGTAAAATGTTAATAAAATCTTCTTATAGATATATTTATTTGCTTGAAAAACCCTGAACAACAATTCCTTATTTGGGGGTCTGATGTAACTGACTGAAGTCAGATTTTTTAGTGTGTACAAGACCACTAATTTCATAGAAGTACAGAAAGCAAGTGTTAGAATAAGGATTGTTATTTGGGGATTGTAGTTAAACTCATGAAAAAGAATGTACCGTGACTGTCAAACATCCACAAGAATGTTTTTCACTTATCACATTAGTCAGCTTATCCCCCCCTTCCAAACAGTATTTTTGTGCTTCCAAATAAAATACTCTAGGCTTTTGTCACAGGTCAAACACTTTACATTTTTTACAGTGTTCTGCAAGGCCCAGCTCAGCAGCAGAACTACATTCACATTACTACCAGTGTCACTAGCGGACAGAGCCATGATTTATTAGGCAAAGGGGAGTAGCAAGGACTAATTGGCCATATGAGGACACATAAGTGTGTGAAAGGAATGCATAAATGGGGAACACATACAAAGGTAGCTTGTTCCTCTGGCATGTCCCAAGGCACAAGATAAATGGCATTATTAACAGATCTGAGATATAAGAACCACAGGACAAATTACAGAAATTCTTTCTTCCTCAAAATAGTATCCTGGCCAGAAATACTCCTACATGAAGTTAAGTAAATTTTGTATAGTTTGAGAAGAAATAATTTAGTAAATTAGAAGGTGAGAAAATATCTTTATGTTAATTTTCTCACAGTAAATTGATTACAACTTTTTTCATTACCACCACTACACTGGAGACAAAATGCAGACTTCAAAATATTTGAAATATCGGGAATGTCTTTATCTTTTGCAATATGCCCACAAAGGTGTATGCTTACAGCAGAAATTATGACATTCTATAAGACTTCAGTATGTATTCAACATGCTCATTTTTGTAAGGACAATAAGATACTTCTAAAAGTCTTAAGGAGGGCCCATAGACATTTGCATGCATCAGGCAACCATGCTTCAAAAGAGCTGGCTTGGTATCCTCAGTAACAGCTACAGATACAATGCTAATAATATTGTAAAAGAAGGCTTTACATATCAAAACAGCAACTTTTTTTTTAACTGCCCTTGATCTCTTATCATACCATATTTAGTAACAGCCACCAGTGTAATCCTCCAGTGTGACCTATATATGGAATTAGATGTTCTTAAGAGCTGTATTTTGGACAAGCAAAAAAATAAAGTAGAAAAAAACCACCAAAAAACCCCTAGCCTGGAACACATAGGGTCCACAGAAAACTATTCTCCTAAATGTCAGCTGTAACTCAGTGACTGATTAGATTTTGCCCACCAGAATATAGAGGTAACACTGACTAAAATTGTCACACACTCAGGGCAGAGCCTGCAAAGTATGCGCATGACTGTTGGTAGTTCCACAAGTTTCACTGAAGCAAGAAATAAATATGCCTAGTGCTTGTAAGATGGTGCCCATAGTGAAGTATACATGAGGTCAGAGTTCAAAATGATATCTGAATCCACTTCCATTCTGTGGAAATGCAAATCCACTTGTTTTGTTGAACTAGCCTGCCCTCTCTAACACCCATACACTACTTTGGAAGAATTTCAGCCTGAGAACTTTCTGTAGTTTAGATTAAGAGAAAAATAAGATTACTTCTGTCATTTCTGTCCATCAGGAAGGAGCCTCATTACCCAAGCAGGCTTGTAATATGTTGTTATGACAGTTGTATTTTATTTCCATTGATTTATCCATAAAGCTAAAGCAATTATAGCCATTTAAATATTATCCTTCAACTATTTACTTATCTTCTGGAAAGAAAGCAAGGCGTATCTGAATACAGATCAGTTGACTCTGAGGTTAGGTAGAGAGTTAAACGGAGAGATGTGGTGATTCTTTTACTGCTTGTGGTTCTTCCACAGACATAAATCAGAGCAGCCTTACAGTATGTTCTATGGAAAGCGAGAGACACAGTAATCCCAGAGACCATCAGAATTGAATGGATCTGTATGTTTTGAGTTTCCATTTGAGCTTTCCATATGTACTGATGGATCAAATCCTTTCAATCCCTACACCATAAAACACAGTTCTTTGTAGAAGGGGATGGCCCAAAACTGTTTGCAATAACGGTAAAACTCTATCACAAACCCGGCAGGTATGCAGACGTTCTGTGAAACTAGGCATGTAAAAATACAAAAGGGAAGTTTTATTTTTATTTCAGACAAATCACAAAACAGTAATATGATAGAAAGGTTTTATTAGCAACACCATGTTCTGCCATTTGCACACCTAATTATTAGAGCTATGGGAGCAATCAAGCTCTCCAAAGGTTTTTGACAAGAATGTAGTACGGGAAGAAAAACAAAACCTGTGTTCAGCATAAAGACCATAAAGACAGATAAAGTCTTAGCTGGACATTTGCTCCAGCTAATTTTAAAACATTAAAAATTATCTTAAATAGTTTTATTCTTTGTTTCTGGATACAGGGATGTTTTTTCCAGTTTTCCTAATATGGCTTTTTGCGGGCCTGAAGATTTATAAAACTCTGGATATTAAACTGGCCAAAACTGCTATTTTGGAGCTCCGTAATGTCTCAAGAACATGCATTGTTGTGGAAAGACTGAAATATTTGTCTTAAAATTTCCTGAAATAATGAAAAAGGAATGACAGTTGTTTGAAAGATACACATAAGTTTCAGAAGCAAGAAATAAGAGAGCGCACGTCAAGCACATTGGACCAAATTATAGAACAAAGATTATCAAAACTCATGCAGTAGAAGCCTTGACATATACATATACACATTCCTTCTAAGGACAGTATCAGCTCTACATTTATAGACTAGTTTAACCACAGAAATAGTGGCATTTATTTGCACCACAGTACCTGGCACCTGGACATCTAAGTAAAGCTGTGTTCAGAAAGAAGCACTGCATGTTCAAAAACCTTTCTTTACATAAAACCTGTTTTCTATTGTACATCAGAGAGTCAAAGGCAGATGGCTGATCTAATTTTAGTTAGGGACAGATACAACCCACTAGCGGCCAGGGTAATCAAGGGTAGCCAAGGTTATGAGCCCCAAGCAACAAATTTATTTTACCTCATATTCAGATTCCAGTGTCACAGTGTTCTGTTTTAATTTTTCTTTCAAAGCTGGATCAACCTGCAAGACAAATAAGAATGCAGCAAAAATGTTTGCTTTTAAGAATTTTGTTTTTTAAGAAATGTTAGCTTCAAATAAACTAAGTATCGGTACATGCAAACCCTTCTCTCCTCTGAATGAGTTGATGTGCTGTTTGTTCCGATACCAGGATGATGAGCACAGTACAAGAACTGGGCTGAAAAGAGACAGGTCAACAGCCTAACTTTTCAAATCAAGCAGGAAGCACATTTGTAACTAGCCTTGCACTTGCATTACCTTAGATACTTAAATCTGTAACAGTTTAGTTTGAAAATGTCAAACTACACAAAGCCTTAAACAAATGAAACAAGAAACATGAAGAAAGAGAAAACTGTGATCACTTTATACATGTAACTCCTGAATGTTATGTTCAGTGAGCAGGTATGCAATATATTCTGGTTTTCAAAATCTGAGTCAAATTTCCAATTTTCTGGTGAACACACAGCTCTTCCCTAGATTTGATTCTGTACTGACAATGCTGCTGACTCCTGTCACCTTTCAGAGAAGTTTGTTCAAAAACAATCTAAAAAGAGAAATGTCAGTGAAGCAGAGCAGATGTCTTCCACGTTTCTACTTCTTCTGAGCCCAGAAGAAGTTATGTTCATTCCTCCCTTTGCTAAGTAACATCTCTCTCCCACAGGCCTAAGAGTGGAAGCAAAGGAGAAAAAGGTAATTAGCATGCTTCATGCTTAGAGAAAGTGTTTTATGTTCTCCTCAAACAGACATTAGCCACATATGCAGTATTCAGACACTGTCTCTAGCCTAATCAATTAAAATATCAAATAAATCTACCATGAGAAAACATCCTTATTTTTAGACCTTAAATACAACCACTGTCAAACAAACCATATGTGTAAGGAGACTGCTAATGTGTTTAGTTCTACATCCATGGTACAGTAGGAAGAAAACTTATTATTCTTAATTTGCTGCTTCTTGATCTGAATGAAAAGAGCTCAGTTACCCTCATCACAACTAACCTCAAATGTCTATCAGCAGTCTAGAGAAGAAAAAGGACAGAACACAAGTCATAGAATTTGCCTGGTTGATAAGAAGATCCACCTTCAGATTTTACCCCAATACAGGCTCCTGATCCTCAGAGGTACTTAAAATACATACCCACTATCTACATTGGTTGCAACTGCTCTGAGGAATTTCCCTAGACCATAATGTTCCCCTTGATTACAGACACTGCCTGCTGGTTGGTATGCAGCCTGTGAGACCTCAGTTCCTAAAGATGCACCGACAGGCAAGTCTAACACTATGTATGCATGGCCAGAGGTTTGATTTCCCTATCTGATCAGAGATCTGGCCATAGAAATACACGCATTTTCAACTTCCAGACTCATTGCACTTGGGAACTAAACCAAAACATCTAAAATGGTTAAAGTTTGCACACGATACAACTCCTACCGTGTTTGAATTAAAAAAACACACAAAAAAACCACAACTTGTAAAACAAGGTACTGTCTCTGCACTGTCCCTCTACATCAAATAAACAATGAAATGCTACATCTCCACCCTGGCATTCAAGGCCTCCACAGAACAGCCCCTCATGAAAGATGAAAGATGGATCGCCTCTCTCCTTCCATGACCACGACCTCCAACAACAGCCATGCTTCATTAGAACAACGAACTTATCCATCACACATTCAGAAATGTAAACTCTTTGGGCAGCCAGCCAAGCTTTGGAGCTTGCTTTCATGGAGGTAAGAGTGACTGTGGACCTCACTGTATTCAGAACTAAATGCAAACACCATTTGTTATGCTTGGTGCTCTTGCAATACACATATGGATAAGGGGAAATAAATGCTCCAGCAAGTAAAGAACCAAGAGAGTTTTATTTCCTCCAATGTTTCCCCTTCATTTAATAATAAGGCACCCAGCATAACATGGTTGGACCAGCATTTTTACTTAATTAAATTTAACTTACAAAGACAGCTCAATATCCCCATTATCAAGTTTTTAAGTTAGTAATTTTTCGTGTGTGTGTTTAAGGTGTGGTGTTTTGCACGGCCACACTTGTGTAAGGTAAAGGGAAACAAGCAGTGAAGTTACTGCTGCTTCTCCTCCCTTCCAGGCCCTTCTGTCCTCAGACTTCCTCGTGCATTCATTCTCCTCTGCCTGCACAAAGGGAGAAGATGAGCTAAAACTGAGACACAGCATCCCAATACTCATAACTGTTTGATGCTGTAGCTTTAATATTGACAACAATGCAGAAATTAAGGAGGCTAACTGAAATTTCTCAGGAAAAAGTTATGCTGTAAATGAGTAATGAAGAGAAACTGCTTCTTCTTTACAAGCAGGAATTTTATGCAGCAAATTAACTTCTCAAAAAAGAGTTAAACCCTGTTTTGAAGGTAAACTATACACACATCTTGGCAAATTCTTAATATTTAACATACAGGCACATGAAAGACTAAAGTCCACTCTGCAGATCATGTTATTTTCCTCAAAGTTCCACAAAAAAAAGGGGGGGGGAAGTATGTATTTCCTCTTATACTTCTCTTGTATTTACCTTTTTTGTTCCCTAATACTTACCTACATAGAATAGTTTAAACATGCTTGACTCCGCACAGAAATTAAGTCATCTGCACATTCCAAAGCTTTGGTTGCAACCCCCCGATTTTCAGTTGCCAAATGGAGACAGACAGGTTACAAATTGTTTTCAGAACAAATATGGCAGCTGAGAAAAAGTACATCATAAAGTTCTGTTTCCACAGCATTTGTACCATGCTGCGCTATCCTTGCAACATCTCAAGAACAAAAAAAGGAAGACAGACAGTGCTATTTTCATTCTGAAAAGGCAGATTAACATCAGTATGAGCCACAATCACAGATTATAACCAGGGAACACTTAAAACATAGGCAGAGCTAGGGAAGTGCCCATGCCAAAGTGGTAGCTCCTTTATATTACACATCTGCCACAAGACCCAAACACAAACACGTACATTTTGCTTCCACGACGACTGCTATGCCAACACACATACTGCCAAACGAGCTAGAAGTATACAGCTATGTACTGGCAAATGAATCATCAGCTAAATTGTGAATACAAATCTCTTTTAGTAAATATGCTGGGGGCAACAAAGCCCAAATGCCAGAACAGCCTGGCAGTGTCCTCTACACCAGTACTTAGGAAGGAAGAGAACACAATCCCCTTACACCAGAGGACTCCTTGTCAGACAAAATCTCAGACACTCCTTTAACATCCATTTAAATTCAAGCTTTGTCTCTAAATATGGAATTCATAGATGTGTGGGCTTATAATCACACCATAACTTCACATTAAATTCTTACTGAAAAACAACTGAAAAACTTGATGCAAGTATTCAGACAGCTTTCATGAGATGCTGTCTGCAAGGCTTCGCAACCAATACTGTGAATAGAACTTTTTAAGGCTTTACTATGTTTTTTACTCAGGTGTGGGGTGTTTTGGTTTTTTTTTTGTCTTATGTAGCACTTGTGGCATAAATGAATGAAACATTCTCAGATTATTTTGCACTATAAAGGCTTATTTCTTATTACACCAATTGGAAGTGCAAGGGGAGGTATATAGACAAATCTCAAAAAAGGTTTAAGAACAAAGTTTTCAAATCAGAATTTCGCCCCATTTCACACTCCACTGTTCCTTCAGATTTACCCTTACTTAACTTCAAAAGGTGCCCAAAGATACAGACTTAAAAAAAAAAAATCTTACGTGGCTGAAAGTAACAGAGATTAAGCTCAAAAATATTCTTAGAAATCTTAGTAGGCAGCTATTTAAGGCCGTAAGTACCTAAAAATCTTTTAAACTGTGGCTGCCATGTCTCGTTTTAAGGCTGACATTTGAGTTTTTCAATTAGAACCTGGACAGAATTTCTAGGTGGAAAAAAAGGTGCACCTCGGGGTACAGATAAGAGGCATCACTTCAGAGCAAAGCAGGAATACCTAGTGCTTGCAGCCTCTACCAGACCAGGGACTCCTGCAGTGCATTGCGATAAACTGCTGGCCTCTCTACACTCATTGCAGCAAAGGGAAATTTTTGTTTGTGACACAAATAGTTTTGGTACAGTTATAAACCTAAATGTGCTGCTACTAAAATATTCTCTAGCTAACAATTTTGCACTGATCCTCAGTGACCACAGTTCATTTCAGTTCAGAAGCAAATAATCCAGACAGAGAGCGACTGTGAAATTTATGAATGTCACTAACTTTACCTCTAGGATATGGAAAGGACAGCTCTTCCACAAAGGAACCCGCAGAACACCATCACTATCCCCTTTTGATGCTCAGAGGGATGGAACACCTCTCCTCTGAGGACAGGCAGAGAGAGTTGGGGCTGTTCAGCCTGCAGAAGAGAAGGCTCCAGGGAGACCTGATTGCAGCCTTTCAGTTTTTAAAGGAGGTTATAAGAAAGATGGGGACAGACTTTTTAGCAGGGCGTGTTGAGGTAAGACAAGGGGTAATGGTTTTAGACTAAAAGAGGATAGATTTACACCAGATATAAGGAAGAAATTTTTCACAGTGAGGGCGGTGAAACACTGGAGCAGATTGCCCAGAGAGGTGCTAGATGCCCCATCCCTGGAAACATTCAAGGTCAGGTTGGACAGCGCTCTGAGCAACCCAGTCTAGTTGAAGATGTCCCTGCTCACCGCAGAGGGGTTGGACTAGATGACCTTTAAAGGTCCCTTCCAACCCAAACTATTCTATGATTCTATGAAACTCAGAAATATAAAGCAGATTAGCACTGTCACTCCTGTTCAGCATTCAGAGAGGAGGAGCAATTGATTCACGTTCTAATTTTCAGGGTAGCATCCCAGTCATCCACAATACATGTATGCCTGGATCTGTAATTTAAATAGCCCATTTTCACAAGCAGTCTCTCTCTCTCAGCTACAACCATTATTATTTATTTGTCCATTTACTATTTGTGGCCACGGGTTTTAGCACAAACCAAGTCTCGAATTTATTACATCTTCTAAAAGTAAGGGTTCAATTACTAT